ACATAATTGGTAGGTACTATAAACTTATATTATTAGTAGTTTGCATATTTTTGAGTATCATTTGCATAAATAGCTCACCGATAAATATATGTTTCGTAAGTCGTAACGATATAACCCCTGGAGCGAAATTCCAAAATGACAATTTTAAATRGTATTCTGCATAATATAGCGTATCTTATCGCTATTTTCTTGTTTTTTATTTTATCCACATGATTAAAGATATGTATTATTTATAAGGAGACTACATAGTTTGATGCCTCTCAAATGAAACCGGAGAAAGAAAATTTGAAGAAAATGTGTAATTCATAATAATATACCTAGGTATCAAAAAATCTCCACTACACTTCGTTTAAGATCTCGCCGACTTGCAACCTCATAATAAATAATATACTTTTTTTTAATTTTGATAGGAAATATCCGCAAAAATCATCAATTTTAAAAAACATAACAATGATTTTCGTAAATTTTACGGATTATTTAGTGATGCTACTTTTTGTCCTTTTTCGTATATTCAAAATGATGAATTTACAATAAAAATAATATTTAACTCAATATTTCTGTAGGTATTTAAAGTAAAATCACTGTGTATTGTATGTTTTTCGATCATTACGACGTCTTAACGTCTATATCGGGTTAGTCTTATAAATTGTTTTGTAGTATTATTATACCTACTCTYACGAATTATATAGGTAACTTATAATAAAGTTACGCTAAACCTCGACAAATCGAGTATGATGGATCACGACGAGCAAACACTGTTTCATATTATATTTTGTATACATTCGCGGATCGAATCTTTTCTCGTTTCACGACCGTCTATGACAATGCACATGCAGCTACACCATCGCAACTTGCACTATCAGCACCGGCGCATGGTCAAGCAGTACACGGGCGACTATGCGAGTGCGTGGACGACGGGCTGGACAGCGGTAGYGAAGCGGATGCAATGGAGACGTCGTCGGATTCCCTGAYCGTGGACGGCGGCAAGAGTTAGACAGTTTATCGACGACGTCGCGCGGGAGGCACCAGGAGAGGGTGTCGCTGCTGGCGCAGAGCCTCAACGGTTACGTGATTGCGAGCGTGATTGTTAACGAGCTGAACGCGTACAGCGTCAAGGTACCAACGGACGATCAGTACCTGTTGGCCGGTGGTGGAGTGGCGATCATCGCGGCGGTCAACTACATCAAGTCAGTGCTGGCGCGGACGCTAGGTAGCGGTTCCTGTTCGTCAAAGTCATTCAGCAGTTGCGATCTGTGGCGGACTACCAGCGGCGGTGCGGTCGACCACATGCAGCTGCAGAACCACAACTTGCACCACCAGCATCAGCACTTCAGTAACCTACACAGGCGCCCGTGTTCCGGTTGCAGTCGTTGCTGCGAGGGATGTCAGTACGCCGTTMCACGACACTGCACGTTGGCCAGCCTGTACGAGGAGTCACAGCCCAAGAAGAAGCAGCAGCAAGAGCAGCGCCGGCGGCAGAGGCGAGATAAGCGGTACAATCGGCGGTCCGGTAAGCAGCAT